TTAATTGATTGGATATTATTTTTTATCTAAGTAAATTTGTATTTTGGTTAAGAAATATTCTTAATTTGATATTATCTTAGTTTTTTGTTGTTAATGGAAATTTAATACATAATTTTATTATTTCTTTTATATATTTTTGATTTAAAATAATATTAATTTGAGAAACTTTCTTAATTTTGAATATTGATCTGAAACAATAGAATTGCACTTTTTAATCCTATGTAGACACTCTTAGATGCATTTAGCTTCAACTTTTATTAGTAACTAGACTTTGCATCCATGCTACGCGTGGATATTTTGTTGATAAAATTTATATACAATCAATTTAATTATTAAGATATAAATTTTATAGATTAGTGTTTTAATAATATATTACAAATATTATGGTGTTAATCTAATAATTTTATGTAAATTGTTAGGTTTTAACGGTTTTGTTTCAAATTTGTATACACTATATCATATTTCAAAAACATATTATTTGATCAAACACTTATTAGTTAATATATCCGAACCAACTAAATTTTCTTACAAATTAATCAAATAATACTTTTAAACATAGTATTGACATAATGATAAAATATTATACATTAACTTCTTTAAATCAAGAAGATAATTTTTGTTCATCATTTTCACTTTTATTCCAATTATATATTTGTTCTTTTAAAACAATAAAAGAAAATAAAATTTAAAGTTTAATGTTTTTTTTCTCTTGTTTAACCAATACAATTTTTTATTTATTAATTTTAAAAACAAACTAATAAATAAAAAAGTTTTTTTTGAGATTAATAACAATTTTAAATTTGAAACCAAAACAATAGTTAAATATGAAATGAAATAATGAATCAAATCACACAAAGTTTGTGAATTTTTTTGTTGTGAATTAAATTATTTTTTTTCAATTAGTTATGTAAACTTTTGAATAATTTTTCAATGATTATACATCATCTCTTCTAATAAGAATGAAAAATTTTTCATCATGTTTATTCTTGTTATATCTGTTTTTTTTCAATAAATATATCATATTTATTCATTTTAATAATTTTTGTATAATTATATTCAGTTCATCATATTCATTCTCATTTCTTCTAATTATAAGTAAACAATTTAATACATAAAAATTTAGAAAAATAAAATAACAAATTGAACAACTCAAAACTAAGAACTTCCACATTATTCTATTGCAATTCCAAGTTGAATATACAAAATGTAATTTTCTATCATTTTCCACATAATATATTACATGAGATTATGTGAAAATATGTTTTGCTTATATGAAAAAAATTAGATGAATATTAAATCATAAATATTAGTTATTTAAAATTCAACGTGAAAAAAACTTTAAGATCAAGTATATCAATATAAGTAGCATATATTTTTTGATAGATAATAAATTAAATTTGTAACTTAAACAGTGATAGCATACATTTTAATATCATGTTGGTTTTTTTTGTTTAATAGAGATTTAGTTATTTATTTTATTTATTTTCTTAATCATAATATTAGAATTAGGAAACTTTATTTAATTTACAGTTTTGATATATACAAATAAAATTGAATTTTTAAATACTGATGTGGACACTACAAGAAAACATGTAAATACCATCGAAATTTTACGTCGAATTTAAAATAATATAGCTTTAACTGTTATTAATGATAAAATAATTTTAATTAACAATTTTTCCTATATTATTTTGTATTAACAATATAATTTTATAATTTAGAAACTTTCTTTTATCTTAGTTATTGATGTGGACTAATAAAATGGACCTTTTAAATCTTATGTGGATGTCCTTAGAGACATATATAGCTTCAACGTCTTTTTTTTGTTAACAATATAATTTTAAAATTTGGAAATTTTCTTAATTTTAGTTATTGATGTGGACCAATAGAATTGAATTTTAAAATCATATGTGGACATTTTTAAAGGCATATAGCTTTAAATTTGATCAATAATAGATTTAGAAATCAAAGCTGGAATATCTCACACGAGGCCCGTTGCGACAAGTGATTTTGATCTCTCCTTCTTATTTTGAGGCTTACTGAATATATTCGGATGCTGTTTGGTCAGCTAATTGTTACTTTTGTGGTTAATGTTAGGTTGTTAAAACCCCATCATATGCTATATTATATCAAAAATATTCCTCGGATACTTCAGTTTCCTTCGTCTTAATGACGGAACTTCTTTCTCTATTTTCAGTGTTTCTTTTTTTAAAAGTGTCAAGTATCAATCACTTGACATGTTTCTCGAATTGATTGTAATTTATCATTCTTCTCAAATTCGGTGACTAGGCTTTGGAGATTTTACAGTCTCTTTTAATATTAAAATGGCTTGTAGTGGTTTTGTTTATATCTCCTTTTAATATATTCTTTGTAATTTAGCTAATACTTAAACATATAGTTTAGTCATGTTGGTTCTTTTACGTTGTAATGACTCATTTTTTAGTGTACATAACTCTTTTTTTTTTTTTTGAAATGGCTGCACATACAGGAAAAAAACTTGAAAATTATTATAGTTATGTGACAAAAAATGGATCCTAATGTAAGAGTCTCTAAATATGCGTGTGTATACATCTAATTTAAATTTAAAATTTCCTATTTTAATATTATTTATTTTAGTTTTTATTATTAATATAATTTTTTATATAATTTTTTATCGTTAATAATTTTAGAAAAACAATAATAAAATTTAGAAACTTTTTATTATCAATTGAGTTGGACCAATAAAAAATTTATACAGAATTTTTTTATTCATTAATAATATTAAAATTTGTAAACTTTCTTAATTTCCTTTTTTCAGCAATAATATTATAATTGTAAACTTTCTTTAATTTTGAATGTTGATGTGGACCAATAAAATTACCCTTTTAAATCCCATATGGACATTCTTAGAAGCATATTAGCTTCAACTTTTATTAGTATATAAGAAGACTAGTGGATTTGTCCACGCCTTGCGTGGACTGATATAATTTTTTTTATTTGGTTGTTTGAAATAGTAGTTTGGATTCATTTGTTTTTTTATTCTATATTATTGAGTATATTTGTTTGTTAGATTTCTTTACATTTTAATGTTTGAAAACATGACCGGAAAAACAGTGTAAAAGAGACTAGATAAAAACATATTAATATTCAAATAATTTAGTTTAAATAATTTTGAAATGTTTTAATGACTGTTCTTTTTATTTTAGACGTAGTTTTTTGAAGTATCGTACGAACTTATTCGGAAAAGAAGGAAAGAGTTAAACAATTTAGAAGGGTGTGAGAGAATTAGAGAGAAATCGTACATATATATACTTTTTTTTTTGTCGACTGCCTAGATACCTAGAACGGTTCAGAAATCCAAACTGGTGGTACCGAGTTTACATATACAATATCTTGAGGGTAGATCCGTGCACTTCGTGCTGGGTTGTCTGCCTTCATATTTTCTGCGCGTGGAATATGTACTAAAATATTTAAAGTCGAAAACCCTAATCTAGACATCACAAATACTGTCATTCCATTAAGAATTTCATTTATTGATTTTTACATTTTCGTTATATTTGACTAAATATCGATTTTATTAGAGAAAATGGTTGATATTTATACTAAATCATAAGAAATCGAAAATCCTATAAACATAAGAAATCGTAAACACTAACCAATATATTGTAATAATTAGTGACTTTCCATTGATATCCTTTTTTTAACGATGTTCTATTAATTAAATATATAGATATTTTTTAATACTTTTTGTTAGATTTTTTTTTTAAATGTTGATTTTATAAAGTTTTAGAAACGATTTGATTTAGGACAATATTTCTTCACACGCCCCCTCGAAATGATGGTTCTTCTATCCATTCATCTCGAAAAATTCCAATTTAAGATTAATTTTAGGTACGATAGGCCAGACAAATTTTTGAGTTGGGTCGAAGTAGTAAAATGATCACGACTAATAATTTTTTTAAGGTCGGATTTAATATTTAGGTAGAGAATGGGCCTGGCTGCGTGTGTTCGGATTGGATCTGAGAATGAGCTTCCAATCAAAACCAACTGACAATAAGTGGATTAACCCAAGTCTTTTATATATTAGTGTAATCCCATCTCAACTTCCGATGTGGGACAATATTCCTTCACACACCTTCAATAATAATCAACTCCCAAAAAAAAATATCACATCGAAACGAATATCAATTGCTTCTAGAAAATTGTGAAGTCTACTGGTTCAGTCAAACACCTTAGTGGGCTTATGTTCCAAGGCCGCGTCTCATTCAGGGATATTGGGCTTCAGTAATTGTCAGGCCCAAGAGTATGGTTAAGTTGACTTAAGTCGTCATCTTCCCGAGCTGAAGCTGTAACAAGAAAGCAAGAGAGTGAGACAGTTATAGAGAGAGAAAGCAGAGGAAAAGATAGAGAGAGAGAGTGATCGGAGCTTACGACGGAGTAGGCGTTCACCGGTGGTAGATTCCGGTCCGATCATCGTCTTCGCCTTGATTCCTTTTGAGTGCTTGATCTTTATAACAAAGCTGTAAGCACCTTGTGCATAACTCTGTAATCGAAGTCGATAGTGGATATTGAGGGATCCCGTTCCCTCCCCAGAGACGTAGCCATATTGGTGAACTCTGGGTAAACAATCTTGCGTATTGTCTTCTTCAATTACGTTTAGAATTCACCTGCGAGATAGATTCATAGATCTTTAGAATCGGATCAAAACACTACAAGTGGTATCAGAGCTATCCAGGTTCTAGATAGCGAAGAATATCTATTGATATTAGAGGAAGTGATATCGGAACTTATCTTACTCTGGGAGAAAGTCAGATCGGAAGGTTTTGTTGTAGAAGTTTTCTCCTCCTGATCTGTTGGTACTCGTTGATGAAAAGCTCGTTGTTCGGAGACTCTCAAAGTTCAACCTGCAAGAAAAGATCATTCTGGTAAGGATGGAGCCAACTCAAGGGAAATTTGAGATGGACAAACTCTTACCGTAGAGGAAGTGGTTATTGCAGCTCACTCCAAAGAGGCAGAGCTCAGGCAAAAGGGACTCCTAGGTAAGGGAAAGTCTTCATCAGAAGGGCTGTACGTCGAATCCAGAGGGAGATATGAAAAACGTGCAGAATACAAGAATGGTAAAGGCAGATCAAAGTCCAAAAACAAGTACAAAGGCACTACCTGTTTCATCTGTGGGAAAGAGGGGCATTGGAAAAGAGAATGCCCGAGTAAAGGCCAGAAGAAGAATGGAGATTCTTCGGCAAACGTTGCAACAGAGGGGAAGCAACCTCTGGTCCTCACGGTGAGTTTGCAGGACTCCAAAAATGCATGGGTAATGGATTCCGGTTGCACTTTTCACATAACCCCACACAAGGAAGTATTATTTGACCTGAAAGAAGTCAACGGTGGAAAAGTATTAATGGCAAACAACACACACAGTGAGGTAAAGGGAATTGGAAAAGTTAGAATCCAAAACCCAGATGGTACTACGGTAATCCTAACAGATGTTCGGTACATGCCTGACATGAGCAGAAATCTTATCTCCTACGGTATGCTTGAAAAAAGCTGGATGCAAGTATGAAAGTAAAGACTACGAAGTTACCTTCTATAAAAATGGTCAAAAGGTAATCACCGGGAAATACAATAAAGGGCTGTATTATCTCCAAGGACAAGTGACCAATGCCGAAGCAAACCTCTCCACTTCTAAGAAGGATATGACAAGTCTATGGCATTCACGACTTGGTCATATGAGCTCAAAGAACATGGAGGTCTTGGTAAAGAATGGTTTCTTATCAAAGGATGAAATTGGAGATTTGAGTTTTTGCGAGGGATATGTATTAGGCAAATCTCATAAACAGAGTTTTCCTAAGGCCAAGCACACAAATAAGGACATTCTGGAGTATGTGCACTCAGATTTATGGGGGTCACCGTCAACCCCAGAAAGTCTAGGAGGATGCAAGTATTTCATAAGCTTCATTGACGATTACTCAAAGAAGGTCTGGGTTTATTCCTTGAGAACTAAGGATCAGGCATTTTCTAAGTTCAAGGAGTGGAAAGAAGCTGTTGAGAAGCATACTGAGAAGAAACTGAAGTGTTTGAGGACTGATAACGAACTTGAGTTTTGTAATGTCCAGTTCGATGAATTATGCAGACAATCTGGTGTTAAGAGGCATAGAACATGTACGTACACACCACAGCAAAATGGTGTGTCCGAGAGAATGAATATGACTATTATGGACAAGGTGAGAAGTATGTTGGCTGAGACAGGTTTGGGTCAGGAATTCTGGGCTGAGGCAACTCAAACTGCTGTTTATTTGACAAACAGGACCCCTAGCTCTACCATTGAATTCAAGATGCCAGAAGAAGTGTGGACAGGTCACAAACCAGATTTAACACATTTACGAAGGTTTGGGTCCATCGCTTATGTTCATACTGTTCAAGATAAGACTAAGGAATTCTAATGGGGTATCCGTTTGGAGTTAAGGGTTACCGTGTCTGGATTCCAGAAGATGGGAAATGCACGAACCTGATAACACCGTATTTTGACCACTTTTATGGACCGTTTTGAAATACTTTTCTATGTTTTTAATTGCTTTTAAGTACTTTTATTACGTTTTTCTAGTATTTGTAGTTTCAAGACTCTTTTCAGGTAATTTAGGGAAAAGCTTAACAAAATGGATAGAAAACCAGATTTCAGCTCAGAGTCAAACCGTCAGAAGTTCACCCCTGATTGAAGGCCTTCTCATCGTCTGATCCAGCTCAAATTTGGAGACCTTAAAGATGGAAGTATCAGCTTTCCAGCACACTTTACAGCTTGGCAATCCAACGGTTCAATCAAAAGATACGCGAATAGCAAGATGTCCCGTAAACCAGCCGGCAAGCAACTCCACCCGCGGCCAACAGGCCATTTCCCGCGGTCAGAAGCATCCCGACCGCGGCAAACCACTCATTCCCTGCGGTCACAGCACTCCCGACCGCGGCAAGCCAACTCTGAGCCCAAAAGCCCATTTTTGAAGCCCACAATGATTCCTTCATTTGGAGAAACCCTAAGTGACGTCCAGAGATGTCTTGAGCACTATAAATACATGTTTTATGAACCCTAATCGAGATCATCTATCATTACTTCATATTTTTACTGTTTTTGCTTTAGGTTTTAGGGAGAGAGAGATTTGTTCTCTTGAACCCTTGTTCTTTCTTTTTCAATTTTGGTTTCTATTCTACTTCTTAATACTATGCTTTTGATTTCGTTCATCATGTCTGAGTAGTTTTATTGTTGGGATTAAGGGATTTTCGATGGGGATCTATATGTTCGATGAGGATTCCATGAGCTTTTGAGCCGAATCTTAGAACTTTTTCTTCTGAATTCGTTTTTACTGCATGAGAGTAGCGTCATGAACTACAATCTAATCCAGATGCTTGGTGACACGAAAGTGTTCATCCGGTATCAGATCTAGTTTGGGAGAGCAAAACAAACATATGAGTGGAAACCTACCTATGGGCGATTTGTGAATAAGGACGAGTCTTAAACATAATGCATCTCTTCTCTTCCAGGGCCAGAGTGGAAACCTACTGGTCATGGTTGAGAGAGATAGTTGTCTATGATCACGACAGTGGCGTATTCATACGTCCGTGACTCCAGTTCGAAAAGTTTAAGCTAAGATCTTATCAATTTTACTCTCTAGCAATGTTTTGAATCGTTCGTACCCCTGAGAAAACTTCCCTGAACCCCAACGCCTTCTTTCCCATAGATTTACACCGTTTTTATTTCAAGCTTTAGTTCAATATTGTCTTTCCTTTTTAGTAGATTTTAATTTAAGCAATTAGAATATCCGTTTTACTCGTTTTTATTCATTTTCGTTAAGTTTAGTTATTAGGTTATTTAATTCCCGTACTTTCTTTTAAGATTTTTTACATTTTAAACACACTACCAAACCCCCACAAAACCGTTTTGGTTCTAGACTTCCTTACTTTATACTTATGTCAAAGGCTTTTTGCTGGAAAAGATCCTCCTTCCCTGTGGATTCGATCCCTAAGTACTACAATCGATCAACTGTGCACTTGCGGCTATTGATTTCATTTAGGGTAAAACTTGACAACCCTCACTCACTACCACAATCAGAGCCGAAAAACCAAGGTTCAAGGCCAGGCTTGTTGCTAAAGGATTCTCACAAAAGGAAGGTGTGGATTATAATGAAATTTTTTCACCAGTGGTTAAGCATGTGCCCACTAGGATCATGTTATCAATTGTGGTCAACAGGGATTATGAATTGGAGCAACTGGATGTCAAAACTGTGTTCTTAAATGGAAACTTAGAAGAAAGGATTCTTATGAGTCAACCAGAGGGTTTTATTAAGAATGGGGATGAAAATAAAGTTTGTCTTCTACGGAAGTATCTTTACTGGTTGAAACAATCCCCGAGACAATGGAACCTGAGGTTTGATAGCTTTATGAAGAAGGAAAAGTTTCAGAAGAGCCGCTATGATCCGTGTGTGTACATGAGAAACATACTGACTGATCAAGCGATTTATCTTTTGTTATATGTGGATGATATGTTGATTGCCTCAGGAGATATGTCAGAGATTAAAAGGGTAAAAGAAAGCTTGAACAGGGAATTTGAAATGAAGGATTTGGGGAAGGCTTCTCGAATTTTGGGAATGGATATTATCCGAGATAGAGAGAAGGGAATTCTTATTCTGTCACAGAAAAGCTATATTGAGAAAGTTCTAAAGGCGTTTGGAATGAAAGAAGCAAGTCAAGTGACTACTCCCTTAGCACCTCATTTCAAGTTTAAGAGTTTGTCAAAGAAAGAAAGAAAGGCAGAGGCTGTGCCTATGGAAAACATTCCATACGCTAGTGCTGTTGGGAGCTTAGTGTATGCTATGATCGGCTCGAGACCTGATCTAGCCTATGCTGTAGGTGTGGTCAGTAGATTTATGACAAGTCCAAGCAGGGAACATTGGTCAGCAGTTAAATGGATTCTTCGGTATTTGTCAGGTGCCTCTAATGCGTGTCTTACTTTTGTTAAGGTTACAAGTTTTGTCATCAACGGGTTTTGTGATTCAGATTATGCCACAGACTTAGACAAGAGAAGATCAGTGACTGGGTTTGTGTTTAAGGTTTGGGGAAATTCAGTCAGTTGGAGATCAAATTTACAGTCAGTTGTGGCATTATTGACTACAGATGCTGAATATATGGCTCTCTCATCAGCTGTGAGAGAGGCCATTTGGTTGAAAGGTATTTGTGGTGAGTTAGGGCTTAACACAGGAGGTGTAAAGATACATTGTGATTCACAGAGTGCTTTGGCACTTGCAAAGAACTCCGTGCATCACGAGCGCACCAAACACATTGCTACAAAGTATCACTTTATTCAGGATATAGTAGCAGATAACGATGCTATACTATACAAGATCCACACTAGCAAAAATCCAGCAGACTTCTTAACTAAAGCCTTACCTGGGCCAAAGTTTCAGCTCTGCTGTGATTTGGTGAATGTCGTCTAGTGACATAAAGGCTCTGGGTAACTCCACCATTAGAGGATCTCGCACGCATAAGAAGACAAGTCAGTAACTTGAGAATCTTATGGCTCTGATTGGTAAAGAGGAGATGAGGAAGGAAAAGAGAGTTACTCGTGAGTGTAGGGACTAGGGGTGAACCAACCTCTCTAGTTCCAGGTGGAGACTCTGTTCACATGAAAAAAATGAAGTCAGTGAAAGCTGTTCTGAAAGATCCGTGTTAACAGGATAAGGTGCGAGGGATTACGGGCTGAAGCCATTACCTGAAGCCGTAATCACAGCGAAAGAGCAATGTCTGCTCACCGGAGAAGCTGCAAAAGGTGCAAAGAAAATCCGAAAGGGTCAATCTTTGCAAAAGGAGATGAATCATAGGTGAGAATACTCAAGCTAATCTCAGAGTGTTACTTGAGTGTTCACGGGTTACCTTAAGTCAGATTCATGTGCCGGAGTCGCAGAGTCCGTCGGCGATCCCATGGGAGGCTGTCATCTGTTACAGTCGGAGGTTCACTATCGAGAGGTTAGGAGTATTAGGGTTCGGCGGAGTCTTCGGTGTTGAGTCTGAAAGGTGGAGTTTGTGAAGTCTAGTACTGGTTCAGTCAAACACCTTAGTGGGCTTATGTTCCAAGGCCGCGTCTCATTCAGGGATATTTGGCTTCAATAATTGTCAGGCCCAAGAGTGTGGTTAAGTTGACTTAAGTCGTCATCTTCCCGAGCTGAAGTTGTAACAAGAAAGCAAGAGAGTGAGACAGTTATAGAGAGAGAAAGCAGAAGAAAAGATAGAGAGAGTGTGATCGAAGCTTATGACGGAGTAGGCGTTCACCAGTGGTAGATTCCGGTCCGATCATCGTCTTCGCCTTGATTCCTTTTGAGTGCTTGATCTTTATAACAAAGCTGTAAGCACCTTATGCATAGCTCTGTAATCGAAGTCGATAGTGGATATTGAGGGATCCCGTTCCCTCCCCGGAGACGTAGCCATATTGGTGAACTCTGGGTAAACAATCTTGCGTATTGTCTTCTTCAATTACGTTTAGAATTTACCTGCGATATAGATTCATAAATCTTTAGAATCGGATCAAAACTCTACAAAAATAGACAAGAAATCTAGCAACTAGACAAAGCTGAGACAACTCCACATTAATTAGCCAACCTAAAGGCTATCAAAATCCGAGGAACTTATAGTGGGTGAACAATTAGACAAAGTTACATCACAGTAACTGCATTCAAAAACTATGTCTAAGCAACTAGCTTTCTTTATTGCTTCATGTGTAAACAAGATGAAATAGAGTTTTCTTATTCACAGTTTTGTAAAGCAAAGAACTCTATACCTGAAGTCTAGCAATGGTGAACAAAGAATAAAATATACTAATTAATTAAAGCACTGAAGTAAATGAAGTAATCTACGAGCGCTGATGCAAGAATTTGCTCAGCTCTCCGAGCATTGAAGCAAAAATCCAAAATACAAGAATAATGGATATATGTGATATAGTAGCTAGCATCACATCAAACCAATATCAAGTTGACTCACGGATTGTATATGGAAAGCTAGAGGGACCTTAATAATGTATAAGGAATAAATAGTTTGTGTCATCTACTCCTTCTCCCGTGAACATATTTGCTGTCTCAACTTCAACATAAATTCTCTCCATACAGGATCTCCTTAGTCTAGGACATAACTCTATGCCTCTATCACTACAAGAAAGTATACGATTAGCAACGATTTTTTACGACGATTAAGAATCGTCGCAAATTCCCTTCGAATTAACAACGAAAGCACGACGATTCTTATAATCGTCGCCAAATCGTCGTTAATTGGTGACGAAAAGAATTCGACGTTACATCGTCGTGCAGTAACGACGATCTGGCGACGATTATAAGAATCGTCGTTAAATCGTCGTAACTTAGGGACGACTTAACGACGAATAAACCCGATTCTCATTTTCGTTGTTAATTCGTCGCTAAACTACATTTCGTCGTTAATTCGTTGTTAAATAACGTTGTTAATTCGATGGTAAGCAGAATAAAAATCTATATATAGGGCCTCCCATAACCCAAAAAAAAATCACAATGCTCCTAAATAAGAGTGATTGAATTGATCACTTAATTGGGAACAAGTATAAAATTTAAAAATATTCACTTGGTAGTGAATATTAAATATATATACGAAATGTCGTCCATATATGAAATTCGGAAATGGATGTACAATCGTATTGATTCAACGGGATCGTTGACAAAAGAATTCAGTGAGGGGGTTGAGGGATTCATGCATGAGGCAGGAAAACTCCCAAGAACGATTGCCAGTCGTATGATGTATTGTCCTTGTCCTAAATGCATGAATAGAAAATTTATCACAATCGTGAAAGTGTGGTCGCATATATTAAATAGAGGATTTATGCCACATTACTTTATATGGTACCATCATGGAGAAGGGCATGGAGAAAGTGCAGGTAGTAGTAATAGCAATTATCAAGCTTCAAATTTTGAAGACTCGTCAAATAATTTGCATCAAGATGAATATTATCATGCAGAGCAGCAAAGGTTTGATCATGATAGAATTCAAGACATGGTTACAGATGCATTTCACGAAACCACAAACACATTTGCACCTGTCCATGATGAGGAACCCAATGCAGATGCAAAAAAATTTTATGATATGTTAGGTGCTGCTAATCAGCCACTTTACAATGGATGCAAAGAAGGACAATCTAAATTATCACTGGCAGCTAGAATGATGACTATTAAAACTGATCATAACTTAGCTGAGACTTGCATGGATGATTGGGCTGACCTGATTAAAGAGTATTTGCCGGCAGACAATTTAGCAGCTGGAACTTACTATGAGATCCAGAAACTTATTTATAGTCTAGGATTGCTTTCTGAGATGATAGATGTCTGTGTTGACAATTGCATGCTATTTTGGAAAGATGATGATAAGTTGGAGGAATGTCGATTTTGTCATAAGCCTAGATATAAGCCGCAAGGAAGTAGTCGCAGCAAAGTACCATTCCAGCGTATGTGGTACCTTCCTATAACTGATAGGTTGAAACGAATGTATCATTCTGAAAGAACAGCGGCAGCGATGAGATGGCATGCAGATCATTTGCAGACAGATGGAAAGATTACTCATCCGTCAGATGAAATGTAGGTCGCTCCGAAAAAGAAGGGAAAAGTTATAGGGATGGAATCTATTAGAGACGTCCCGAGTGCTTCGTCATCCGCACCACGCCGCCGAGGACCAGAAGATGATCCAGTCGTTCTACGGGCCAAGATTGCAACTTTAGAGGAGTCTCAAAGCGCATATCACCAGGAAGTTCAGGAGGAGCTTTTGGAGTATGACTCCATCTTCGATATCATTGCCCTCTCAATCCCAGATGTTGCAAATGCCTTGCGAGCAAAACGTCAAAAACGTGCAGCGGAAAAGGAGGCAAGATTGGTGGCACGAAGAGTGGCGACACAAGCTGCAGGTACTCAAGGAGCATCTACAAGTGGTGGAGCGACACATGCTGCGGGTACTCAAGGAGCATCTACAAATGGTGGAGAAGATCAATCACATGCTCCGGTTACTAATCTTGCGGACGATTTTGGAGATTTCGAAATTGATTATGATGCTTAAATATGATTTTTTTTTGTTGTAATAAAAATATTTTGTTTTGTTTTAATTAAAATAATTTTATTTTCATATTTATTTTTAATTATTATTTCAAAAAAATTTGGGTTTAAAAAATAAATAAACATTCGTCCTTAAATCGTTGTAAATTACGACGAATTCGGGACGAAATGTTTACGACGAATTAGGGACGAATCTAGAGTAACGACGACTTAAGGACGATTCTTCTGCCACGAATTTGCAACGAATTGCCGACAAAAGCTTTTCGTCGTTCAATCGTCGTTACATTTACAACGAAGTTACGATGAATGCTTCTCGACGATTTAACGACGATTATTTGTTTCTCGCTAATTAAAGACGATTTTACGACGAATTACCAGTTACGACGATCAATATACGACGAACTGGCATTCGTCGTTAAATCGTCGCAAACCTCATTTCACAATGATTTAACGACGAATATGGTCGTTGTGAAATGGGTGATTTCTTGTAGTGTATGAATCCAAAACTTCATGCTTAATATCAGCTCAAATCGAGAGCTAGTTTAAACATCCAAACGCTATATCTTGTGAGGTATTATGCTAAATTTGCTCAGGAGAACGTGAAGAAATGACAAACTGACCACTAACTTCGCAATCCCACCGTTGCTTCTCAATTCAGTAGTGTCACGAAACATTCCACCAAGTTTCAACCAGATCGGATTTCATATTAAGCCTCCCATAATTCCTTGAAGTAGCTGTTATCTAGGGATCCAAGTTTGAACACTTTTGATTGGTTCTTGGACAGCAAGAAAACCTCAACCCTTTATTTTTTCCTCTGTGTGTGTGTATATCTGCGTATAGCTACATGTTGTTACAATTTTGTAGAAACACAAAGTGATTTTATTATATTTTTAAGAAGTCTGATTAGGAAATGCGAAGAAACGTTCTGTATTACTTTTTTTTTCTCTTTACCTGATTTGTTTTAACGCCAAAAAACGATGTTAGTTACATATATTTAATCTCACAACTTGATTGCTTAATTCTCTTACAAAGTAATCTTTGTTTAATATACTCCATAGATAACGTGAGGGTCAGCTCTTCACGTGAAACCCACGTGCCGATTTCACGCAATGACCAGATCCAGTGTTTCGCTTCCTTCTCTGTTTCCATACGTATCCTACGTGGCAAAATTCTATTAGTTGTACGCTTTTCGTAGCCGCAAATCTAGCGATCGTAATATTGCATTTCACATTCTCACTCTAAAACTAACTATTTTTGTTTATTATCATCATCTTCTCAGATCTCTTCTTATTCGTCTCTTACTTCACTCATCAAGATCTGAGAGAGAAACATAATTTGAAATTCGAAAATGAAGCTCGGAATCATAACCATTTCGTCTCTGCTAATGCTGGTACTCGTCTCCGGCGAGATTTCGACTAAAGTCTCACCGGCTCCGGCGCCGGATCTATCAACCGACGCTACAGATTCGCCTCCAATCCACGCGCCTACGCCGGAATTTGGATCCCCTTCACCAGCAGAGTCTCCGATCGCATACTCTTCTCTTCCGCAACCAGAAACAGAACACTCCCCATCTCCATCTCCTTCTCCGTCAGATTCTCCATCGCTATCTCCGCCGTTGCCGGATGATCATGCGTCTCCTTCATCTTCTCCATCTCCGTCTCCGTCGCAAGAAGCTAGCGATTTGAACCACAGCGATATTACCGGTGTCGAAGAGGAAAAATCATCGGGAGGCGGTGGAATGAGCGGCGGGAAGAAGGCTGGGGTCGCGTTTGGAACGATCGCGGCGGTTTGTGTGGTTGGATTGGCCGGATTTGTGTACAAGAGACGGCAGGAGAATATTCGCAGATCTCGGTACGGTTACGCCGCCAGAGAGATGCTGTAAAGAGAGAGAGATCCGGCGAGGATATAGCTTGATTTAATTTTTTTTGTTACTTTTCGAATTTCGAAAAACATTTATTGATATATTTGTTTGAAAAAAGTCCGTATGATTTTTTGCAGTTGTTTTCGTGGCTGATTGATTACCGAAATCTTATTATTTGTAGTTAGTTCGAAACTACAATTATATTTCTGATTTAATAATTTGGAAAGTATTAATGCATTTTATTATAGAGTTATTGCACTTGGTCATTTATTTGGGAAAACGAATCTATTATATAAAAACTCAGTTGAGTTTCACAAGATTGACATATCAGCATTCATTTTTTTGACACATTAGATTAAAAAAAATTATGAGAAAATTAAACAATTAAATTATACTAATTTGGTTTTTAATTGAACACAAAAACCGAAAGAGAAGTACATATCAATTTATGGTTCATAATAAACTGCAAATTAATTTTATTTTGGAAATTGGAAAGATAGAATCTCAAACAATCTCCAATGCTTTCTAATATCGACTCAAAATTCCACAAGTCAATAGGTAAAATTTTTTATTCTTCGCCTCCTCTTTGATTTATTGGTTTTTAAAAACTGTATTATATTCCTTGTATTGAATTCATTCTGGTTTTGTTTACATAGACATTGATCCATTTTCTTTGTATAAAGGCATATCCACCGATGACAACCCTACCACCAGGACAAAGAGTTGAGACTTGAAGTCCTCGGGCAGAAAGCAAAATACGATTTGGCAAAGATATTAAATTTGTCTTACAAAATACATATTTTTATCATTAAAAATTAACTAACAAACAAAAAGACAGGTTGAGAAAAATAATAATGAAGATATATTTGGTTAGGTGCAAAAATAAAAAATATTACATCTACAAAAAATAATGACTACATTTTTACGAGTTCATATGATATTCATATTACCAAATACAAAAAATTAGATTAAACTTATAAAAAAATGTCTATTAATAAATTATATTAAAACAAAAAAATCACATTTAATGACTATATTTTTACAAATTTGGATAATATTTTCTTTATCAAAAATAAAATAGGTTAATTTTGTTGAAAAATAGAAATTTAAAATGTATATAAAACAAACAAAACACCCGCGTGTACACGCGGGTATTCATCTAGTGATGCCAAAATTTGGGTAATTTACTGTACATAAGAAAAGTATCAAAATCTAGTTGAACTAAATTTTCTTGGACCAAAAACTCGATAATATAAATATTTGAATTATCTATCTAAACTTTTAACATCGTGTCAAAATCTATTCTGACCATTTGACCGTTAGTTAATACTCACAGAATGCTGATGTAGCCAATATGTCAATTTTGATGTGGTAACTGTACAAAAAACATCATCGTTTTAACTATTTTTAGAACAATTTTCACCTAAACAAAACAATGTCGTTTTGATTTGGATAAAAATAAAAGTTCCAAATCAATTTAGGGTTCACGAATTTGTCTCTTCGATAGTGGTTTTAAAGGAAGCTCTAATAGAATGTCAAAGAAGAGGGTCCCCTAAAAGATGTAGGTGTGAAGAAGCTGTCCTCATGAAGACTATGGTTCATATAGACCAGAGGATGAAGGAAGCAGTGAATCATCAAAGAAGATTCATGATTAGGGCAGTACAATGGATAGAGGCTGAGTAGAAGAAACTCAAGTATTGTGTGATGATTCCCAGAGAAAATGCAAGAAATGAAGTGTATGAATCTGGTGTAAACTAAAGTGTTAACATGAGACTAAGGGCATGTGCGTGTAGTAGATGGGACATGAGTGGTATTCATTGCCGTCTACGTGTCATCATTGAAAGGAAACTGAATCATGAGGATCCCATCTCCCATAGGTTTTTGAATTCCTGGCAGCAACAAATCTATAGTCTATTAATCAATCATATCAATCCTATCAACGGTCTGTTATTTTGAGGAAAAGCAAGATCAAAGGTGCTGCCACCACCAAGTTTAGTTGAAAAAAGTGAGAACAAAATTGGAAGAAAGCCAAAGCCAAAGAGGATGAAGGAAGCAGTGAATCATCAAAGAAGATTCATGGTAATGGCATTACAGTGGATAGAGGCTGAGTAGAAGAAACTCAAGTATTGTGTGATGATTCCCAGAAAAAATGCAAGAGATGAGGTGTGTGAGTCTGGTGTAAGTTAAAGTGTTAACATGAGACTAAGGGCATGTGCGTGTAGTAGATGAGACATGAGTGGTCTTCCTTGCCATCATGCCCTACGTGTCATCGCTGAAAGGAAACTGAATCATGAGGATCCCATCTTCCATTGGTTTCTGAATTCCTGGCAGCAACAAATCTATAGTCTGTTAATCAATTCTATCAATCCTCTCAACGGTCTGTTATTTGAGGAAAAATCAAAATCAAAGGTGCTGCCACCACCAAGTTTAGTTGAAAAAATTGAGAACAAAGTTGGAAGAAAGCCAAAGCCGAAAAGGAAGAAGGCAAGGCATGAGTCTCCATTAAAGAAGAAAGCATCTAGAGAGAAAAAGATCATGCATTGTGGTTGTTGTGGTGAAGATAGCCATAATGTAACAAAATGTCAGAATATGGTAGTGGATAATGGCAAAAAAGCAAGTAAGAGATCAAATGCCAGAAAGAAGAGCCAGGGAGAAGATGGAAATGAGGCTACAGAGACAGAACAAGATGGATACGAGTAAATGACTCTATCATTTGGAGAAGGACCAACTCTAACTCAACCAACTCAAGACTAGATAAGTTGTGTGATCGTTTAAGGGGCCATCGTTTAAGTGAATACTAATACAGTATAGAATAGTATTAGCAACCTTGTTATTTTTTTTGTGTTGGGAAGATGGAAGAAATGATGATGTTGTGGAGCACAAAGGATGGAGCATAAGAGGCAGCTGATTAGAACCTAAATCATGACTTTGTTTCTCTGTTTTTTGTCATGGTTTAAACTGAATTTTGTTTGATGTTATGATATGATTTTTTTTTAAGTTTAGCCCCTTGTTTTGCAACTGTTTTTTGTAACCCTTATGCTCAGAAAATTTTGCTTGTATGAAGCTTTAGATACTCTTGCTTCTATGTTGTGTTTGATCCGTATTTTGCTTGATCAAAATCCATTTTCTAATCATTCAGTTTTAACAACAAATTTACGACACAAAACATTATTCCAAACATAAACATTAGATTGAAAGACTAAGACACTAGTAGCTTATCTCAAACACTTATGTAGACTCACATTACAACAAGATCACAAAGGAAAAAGCAAATAGAACATCCACATCTCACACTAGACCAACCACATCACAAAAGCAAAATCAGACAAGATTATTCAAGCTACAGAGCTCCAATGTGAGATCTCCCACCTCTTTTTCAACCACAGCCTCACACATACACGTCTCCATAGCCAATGTGTCAATCTCAGACTCACAAACATTAAAGCCCTTCTGCAATGTCATTGAAGTTTCTTCAATGTTCCCGACTTTGTCTATCAAGTCCTCAAGCTCTTTAACCATACATGTATCAGTCCATTTGAACGTATGATACCAATTATCCTATCACATATACAAACATAACTCAATGGACAACAAACACTCCATCCAAACATATATCAATGCTCCGAAAATGAGTATACTTACTCCTTCATTTCCATATGGGCACGCATGAAACAGCCTTCCAGGATTTTTAGCAATACCAGACGTCTTCATAAGGACAGCTTCTCTGCACCTACATCTCTTAGGGAACCCTCTTCTTTGACATTCCATTAGAGCTCCCTTTAAAACCATTATCGACGAAGAAGACAAGTCAAGAACCCTAAATCGATTTGGGATTTTTATTTCCCCCAATTAAATCAAAACGACGCCGTTTTATTTATGTGAGAATTATCCTAAAAATAGTTAAAAGATGACGTTTTTTTTTACTGTTGCCACATTGGAATAGTGACATGTCGGTCATTTCAACATTCTGTGAGTGTTGACTAACAGTTAGATTGTCAAGATAGGTTTTGGCATGATGTTATAAGTTAAAGATAGGTAATTCAAATGTTTATATCATTCAGATGGGAATTAGCCCCGTATTTTAGTACAATTTTGTTTTTTAGCCCACAAAATTTAGTTCAGTTAGATTTTGGTCATTTTTCGTCTTTCTAGACCTCTCACATTAGCTTGAGATTTTTATTTTATTATTAGAAATTTTAAACATACCATCGCTCTCATTGGTTTCAATTTTGTGGAATATGTAACTGTGAAATAGTATAAATAATCTTGCGCAATAAAATAATTTATTTAAAAATCACTTTTTTTGTTTGATTGTTTTTTCTTTGTATCATCTTTAAGTAAAAAACGTAATTTTTTGTTAATTGACATTTAGAACCCAAATCGGTAAAAAACAAAATTTTTTCGAAAATAAAAATCGAGGAAAATAATAGTTTTTTGAAATAAAAGCCGGCGGAAAATAAAATTATTTTAGAGAAACAACACAAAAATCATGCAACCATTAATACAAGTCTATAAAATTAAGTCTATTGATGAAATAGATCAATTGTTAAGGAAAATGTGAAAAATCTAGTGAAATTATCTGCCGAAGAAATTAAAAAAACTAACAAGAAATTAAAAAAACTAACACCTAACTACTACTACCCAAAAAAAAAAACTAAACCCTAAATGAAGAGACTTTTTTTTTTAAATCCGGTGAAATGCTACTCAATTATGAAAATGACAGAGAAAATATCTTTGCCACACCGCAAATCAAACTAGTAACCTAAATTTTTGAACACCTAAGCGATAATTCATAATCAATAGACCTAAATTCAAAAAGATTCACAGAGATTGAAAAACTTAAGAGCAATTCACTACAAAGAAACCCGCTCCAGCTTTGTCTCGTAGACAAATATTTAATTCTAATGAAATACATGTAAAACTTACAGATCAACAATGGCACAAAGACTCCTTGGTCCTTCACATTAGTTCAAAATCCATGATATTTTACAAATCTATATACTTATTTGCGTAGAGATTTGCTTACGTATCGCACTCATAACAAGTTTCACAGTTCTTCGCTTACGTGTCAGCTCCAACATAAGTTTCGGCTGCAAAAAGCAATTACGTGCCATTTTTAATTGGTTCCTTATTGATGATGTGTAAAAAAAACCTTAAAACGAACCAGTTTAAATTGATATGGTTTAATGCTTAATTTCATAGTTAACCAAACCGTTTTTAAAATTACATAAGACCAAAATTTAGAAAAAATTAAAAAAAAGTTTTTTTTTTAAAATAAAATATGATATCTCTTAGTGTTTATTATTTATTATGTTTCCAAAATTTAGAATGTTAAAAGAAACAAAAAATAGAATCTCTTTAAAAAGCTATAGAATGTCGTTTTTGAAATTATATAAAACTGAAATTTAGAAAAAAATTTTAAAAAATGTTTTACAACGAGTTTCAGAGCTTTTCGCTTACATGTCAGCTCAAAAATGAATTTCGGCTATAAACAGACCGTTTAACCCTATTTTGCAATTTATGTGTCATTTTAAAATTTTAAAAACGTGTCATTATCTGATTATGTGTAAAAAAAACTTTTAAAAAAACTGGTCTAAATATGGTTTAATGTTTAATTGCATAGTCAATCAAACCGTTTTTAAAATTGTATATAACCAAAATTTTAAAAAAATTAACAAAAATGTTTTTTTTATAAAAAAAATAGAATCTATATTTCTTAATTCTGAGTGTTTACCATTTCTTATATTTCTGAAATTTAAAAAAAAATTCTAACAAAAATGTTAAAAGAAACAAAAAATGGAAACTTTTAAAAATTAATGGAATGTCGTTTCAAAACAAAAAAAAATTTTTTTTAAAAAGTCTAACAAAAAAATTAAAAAAAAAAAAAAAATATATATATATATATATGTATCTAACTAATGGAATGATGGTATTTGTAATGTTTAAAACACATAAAACAATGATCAAATCGAATAAATTCATACAAACCTTCAAAAAATTAGGTCTAAAATACATAGAACAATGATCAAAAGGTCTTAAAACTATTTAAACTAAACTAGGTGAATACCCGCACATTACGTGCAGATTTTTCTTTTCAAAATTTTCAAACTTTTTTTATATTTTTATAAAAATTAATATAATCATCACTTGTTACTTACTTACTTGTTAATATTTTATTCTAAAAAATTATAAAATATTAATACATATTGAATATTATTTAATAATTTAAAATTATATTAAGATTAATAAATATCATTCAATGTTTTTAATTAGTTATAACATAAATTTTTGTTTAACATTTACAGAAATATTAATTGATAATCAATTAATTAAAAAAATAAAATTAATATAATCATCATTTCATTTGTTACTGGTCAGTATTTTATTATAAATAATTTAAAAAATTAATTTAAAATACATCTTGAATATTATTAAGTAATCTAAATATTATTAAGTAATCTACAATTATATAAAAATTAAATATATATCTATCAATATTTTTAATTAGTTATAACATAAATTGTTGTTTAACATTAATATAAATTTTAATTAAGAGTCAGTTAATAAAACAAACTTTTCATATTCTTTAAGTGTTTTAAAATTTAATACTAAATTTTATTAATTAAAATTTAAAGACAGGTGTCAACCTCTTCAATATTAATGTGTCAATTATATGGAGAAAGTTGAACAACTTTTATATATAAAATAAGATTATTTGGATACTACTATATTTTTATTTACTCTCTTCTATTCTATATTGTTTTTACGATCATATCTTCCAACATTAAAATGTAAGAAAATCTAACAAACAAATATACTCAAAAATAAAAAACAAATGAATCCAAACTATTATTATATTTTCAAACAATCAAATAAAAATCATATCAAACTACTATTAATATGATAAAATTTGTCAAACTACTATTATATGATAAAATTTAACTACTAGTCCATGTACTCTAAAATTTAGCCCATCCCAAAAGAGATTTATAATAAACGTCATATTGTTGTTTTCCACCCAATGACCCAAACAGGCAAACAGGTTATCTTTATATATAGAAAAAAAAAATATAACCAAAAAGAAAGAAAAGTAAAAACAACAAAAGAGGAAAAACAAATAACAATCAAGAGAAGTCTCTCTAAGGAACTCTCTTACATACAACATAAACGCAATCGCTTCGACCCGCCTAAAGGGATTTGAACAGACAAAACGATATGTTTGCCAAGTTTTCACGTAAACTGGTCTTTGGTTAAGAATCTGCAATCTCAGCTACCATTTCAATCCCATTATGTGCTTCTTCTTCTTGAGCTTTGCGTTTGCACCAACAAAAGTACTCCGGGACAACCCCATCTTCTCCAGTGACCCATGGATGCTCCGCCACAGCTTTCAACGTCATCCTCTTGTTTGGGTCTAACACAAGTGAGCAGCTTTGAGCCACGTTATTCACAAAAAGGCCTAACTTTTATTTCAACTTCAAACTCATAGCAAACTGATAAGAACTCACCTTTGCAAAGTAGACCTGTGATCAAGTCCTTGAGCTGAGGATTCAGTCCTTCCGGTATTATCAACGGGTTGTGAACAATCTTGCATTATTCGTAAGAAAACAAGATTTAAGACAGCTTGCTTTATTCAAAATCTGTAAACAAAAGCAGCAGAGAGAGAGAGAAGGAAACCTTGTCATAAGTATCCTGAAGTGTATCACCAAGAAACGGGTACTGTCCTAATATCATACAATGCAAAGTAACTCCCACTGCCCATGTGTCTGCAGCTCTGCCACTGTATGTTATACCTAAACAACATTCTGGGGCAGTGAAGACAGGAGTCCCAGGAGATCTACGTAGTTGATCATCATCATCCTGCACCATAACGTATCATGTTTACAGATTTGAAGATACTAATGCTGATGTTTGACAAAGACCAAAGATGGGATTCTCAGTACCTTGAATACTTGGCTTACACTGAAATCTCCTATCTTCACTGTCCCGGTACTAGTAACCAGCAAATTGTCCGGTTTAATGTCGCCGTGAATTACATTCTGTAAACAAGGCGATAATCATGTCTCTTATCGGATAAAACGAAAGTGTTGGATGAAGAAGCGTTAGAGAGTGAAGATCGTACATGAGAATGAAGGTACATGAGGCCAGCAACTACATCCCGCAAGTACTTTCTAGCAGTATTCTCTCCGAGAGCACCCGGTGGTCCAGAAGCATCATAAGCCCATTTCCCATCAACATATTCAAGAACTATAGACAAGACGCAACAACACAGAATCAGATGAAAGAAATTTCCCCTAAAGAGAAAGAATTGAAGTGACAAACAAAAGAGGGGAAAGACATACCCATGTAAAAATGATCAGTCTCAGGGTCATCAATAACCTCAATGAGGTTAACTATATTAGGATGCTCCAGGATTTTCATTATCATAACCTATAATGATGAGATACAAAAACATGGAACCCGTTACACAAGTCTTTTTGGCATGAATCTGAAAAAAGGCAACATGGGAAATTACCTCCAAGTTGGGTGTTGTTAAGATAAATAAAAAGAAATATATGAGATACCTCACGAAGAACATCTCCCATAGCAGTTTCTGAAGGTGCAACCCGTAGCCTTAACAAATGTGATTTGTGAAAAGCCTGGAAATCCAAATATATAATCACCACATGTCCAAAAAATTTAGTTGCATTATGTGATCAACTAAAGAAATATTTCTATAATCTGTGTCGTGGTGATCTTCAGTGAACAGTGTCACAGAAGACCAGCAATACAAAGTTAAGCTCACAAGTGGTGAGTATACCTTAATAGCATAATCCTTTCCATCGACAGTGCTTTGATATAGAACCTGTTATACATACAAACAACAACGTTATGGATTCTATAACCCATTTTTGTTCACTTTTATCCATGCATAGGAAACTAGTTTCTTTATTTACTACCTATCCATAAGGAAATAAGTTTAAGAAAGCCAAGATATAAGTGTTTAGCATTCGCCTAAAAGAACATATATAAGCTTTGAAAAGACGTTTTTTCACACTTACTACTTTCCCATAGCTTCCAGATCCAATTTTACGCTGACGAACAAACTCATTAACTGTCTTGTTTCCATCTTCATCCTGGAAACCAAATACGAAATATATTCGGTATTCACACACTATACCATATAAAGGAGGATTTAAGTTTCTTTGGGGACATGGGAAAAATGTCGCATACCTCTCCCCGTATAAGTTTATTAGTTTCCTTCACTAGAAACCGCCTGCAGATTAGTCCATTTTGTAGTTTATATTTCAAAATTTCCTCAGAACGTTTGGAACGGCTCTGCTGCTCTACTACTTTCTCTTCTTCTTCTTCATCTATTTCTTCTTCTTCTTCATCTCCTCCAGCATAGCTGGTTACATCACCATCATTGGAATACGTATCATCATCATCGTATGGTTTTAGTGATTGTCTTGATCTCTCAGAGCAACCAAAGCACCCAAAGCAACCCATCGCTTGGGCAAATGAGAAGCTATCACGAAACATTATCTACTCCAAAACAAAAATGAAATCTCTAGTATGTTGAAAAGCTAGGAATTCCGAAAACCTGTAAGAAACATTGAAGCCATAATCACAAACCTGATTCGAGAGAAAATCTACTTCCCTAAAGATTAAAACTAAAAGCAACCACAAATCTTACTCTGCAAAAAAGAGGGCTTCAAAGCCCGAGAAGCTTCGTTATTCCAAAGGATGCCACTCAGCAAGATGAATGAAACTTCTTGAGATATCGAATCCAATACTACTCAAACGCAACATTTCGTAGCTCCACCTTATAGTAAATATATATATATTGATCCCAAATCTTTCCCAATTTCTATTAACTTATAAGAAATAGCTTCATGCACCACCAATAAAGTCAATATCAACTCCAAGCTTCTGCGAAAAAAGAGAAAAACTTTCTTCAATCAAATTCGCCGGAAATATATTAGGGTCATATTTTGAGGTAAAGATCAAAGTTTTTGGCGAAAGTGATTAACTTTCCCCATATATCCATTGAAATTAACATTCAATGCAAAGTCAATATCAACTCTAACCTTCTGCAAAAAAGGGAGAAATTTTCTCCAATTGAATTCGCTGAAATACACTAAAGATCATATTTTGAGGTAAGATCAAACCTTTTGGCGAAAGTTATAAGCTTTCCGCATATATTCATTGAAATTAACATTCTATACAAAACCCTTCACGTATGAACGATGACACCATTTTTCTTATCACAAACCCAAATTACCCACTAGGCGAGACAAAAGAAAAAAAAAAGAAAAAACCCTAATTTCGATATCGACGGCGCAGGAATGAGCAGGTAGCGTCGAAGAAGAAATATTATTCCCAGTTTAAAGGCGATCGGATATTCGAAATTGGGAAGAAGAACAAAAAAATTCAGTGATTAGAGTGTAGCGAATGAAAATCTTACAATTCAAATTGATTCGGAATTCGAATGCGATTTCAACAACAGCAGCATGAAGAAAAGAGGAAATTCGCCATAGACACCCAACGTTTGATTTGTTTTAAAACAAAAAATTGTTTTTTTTTTTTGTGTTGGCAACTTGGTAGTATTTTATAAGGACAAAAAAAAAATACAAAAAATACAGTTAAGAAGGAGTATCAAACAAACCTCACCAGCTAATGTGACATCTAAACAGAGTTTAACTATTGAGAAGGGATGATTACTGTACTAATCTTAGAAAGTATCTATATTACTTGTTTGGCGCATTTTTATTTTTTTTTACAAAACTAACCTAGCATACTCAAAACATTTTTTTCGCCTTTGTTAAAAAAAAACTAATTACGAAAATGTCATTATTTTTTTAATGCCACGTAGACAGAAAATAACGCTAAAAATTTGATAAGTCTACCAGACTTTGATGGTAGACTTATCAAATTTTGGTCAACACAAAAATTTTGTCGGTAGAATTATTAGGTCGATGGTAGATTTATTCGAGAGTTAGTAGATTTTACAAATGTTGGTAGACTTATCTTGGTAGAGTTTTAATAATGAGAGGTAGATTTATTATGTTTCGGTAGATTTGTTGTTATGAATGGCAGACTTGTCGAACGCGTTGGTAGACTTATTAAAGAAAGCGTTGACTTTCTCGCATAGTTGACTTTGTCGGTAGATTTATTGACAATGAGGTAGATTTAATTTATGAGTTGGTAGACTTATGTCCTTTGGCAGTAAATTTATGTGAAAAAGTTATCAATACGTGATGGTAGATATATCCGTTTTATGGTAGAGTTATATCTAGTTGGTAGATTTTTCGCTTTTGTGGTAGATATGTTTGTTTTGTGGTAGATTTAAATTCAAGTAAAATTCCTTGAACATATATGTTCAATAGAACATATATGTTCTATTAGTTCACTTAAATATTTATCTTATGTCCTTCTTTGTTTATGTCTGTAATAACCATCTCTTAACTTATAATTTTTTGATTTTTATTTGTGAATATTTTGTTACATTTAACTCTATTCACATAAACCCTTGAACATCACAATGTCAAATGACTTTAGTCATGTGTTTTGGTTAAAATTCCATTCACTTAGGATAGACATCATAGTGAAAGTAAAGAAAATAATTTGAATTGAATAATAACATTACTAGAAAATATGGTAAAAAGATGAAATGTTTGAGTCAATATTTTATGACAACTATAATTCTAAAACAAAGATATCATCATTTAAAATCTAATTATCATTTGTACATATTCAATATAGACATACCATCAATTGAATAATAAATCTACCATCATTTCAAAACAAATCTATCAAATACAAATCTACAATTCATAGTAGAACACGTCGGATTGATGTTAGATATCCCATCAGAGACTTGTTCGCCATTGCAAAGCCCATAATCTGTCAGAGAAAAACAAACAAATGCCATCATTTGTATATAAAATTTAGTGAAAATTCCTCATACTAGCCTTTAAGGTTAATGAAATGACAAACCTAGCCTAACATATTGAAAGACTTACTAGACTAACCTTATAAAGTTGGTTTAAGTCCATTTTATCCAGATGTTGAATATTATTACAAAAATGTCATTATGATTTTTTTTTATAAATTTTTTTTTTCGAAAAAACTTTAATTTCGAAAAAAACTTTTTAAAAAATCGAAATTTTTTTTGACGAAAAAAAACATTTTTTTTAAAACGAAAAAAGCAAAAAAAAAAAAAATACAAAACCAAAAACTAAAAAAAAAAAATAAACCCTAATTCATCTTTTTCTCTCTCTCTTTCTTCTGCGCCATTTTTTTTCTCCCATGGAATTGCTCTTCTTCTTAACCTTTTCATTCCTCTCTTGCTCTCTTCTTTATCTTTTCTTTTGTTTTGTTAAATTTTGTTGTATGAATACGTATTCTTTATGAACTTCAAAGCTTCGATGTTTCAGATCGAGAAAAACACAACTAGTTCTACCGATTTTTTGTATCAAGAAGCCTCCAACGTTTTCAAGCTCGGAGATCTAGATCTTCCTATGGTTTCTATAATTCATTCTGCTATTATGTGAGTTTTTTTTTCATTTTTTCGAATTCTTTGATTTTTTTCTAGATCTGGGTTTTTGGATCTAATATCAACAATAAACTATGGAGATGTGGCGGTTGGCGGTGACTCTTAAGCAGCATTCTCGCCGCGTCGCGCACAACCGCAGTGGATAGACGTTGTTTCGATGGAATGGTGGTGTTGTGGAGGTTGTCGGCGGCATAAATTTTTTTTTTCAGGTACGTTTGGTAGATATATTTGGAAATCGATTTTGTATTTTTTTTATTGTAAAGTTCATAATGTGAAATGGTAGATTTATTTGAAAAACGATATGTAGTTTGGTAGATTATTAGTTATTTGATGGTAGATATATTTAGAAAACGAAATGTGGTTTGGTAGATTTATTAGTTATTTGATGGTAAAATTATTTTAAAAAACGATGTCGTTTGGTAGATTTATTAGTCATCTAATGATAGACTTATTTGTAAAACGATGTGGTTTGGTAGATTTATTAGTCATTTAATGGTAACTTATTTGAAAAATGATATGTGTTTGGTAGATTTATTAGTTATTTATGGTAGATTTATCAGTCGTTTATATTTGAATTTTATATATGAATAACAATATTTGTTTATTTTTTTCTGACAGATTATGGGCTTTGCCATGGTGAACAAATCTTCGATGGGATATCCATCACCGATCCGACATGTTTTACTATGAATTGTAGATTTACATTTGGTAGATTTGTTTTGAAATGATGGTAGATTTATTATTAAATTGATGGTATATCTATATTTGAATTTGTAAAAATGATAATTAGATTTTGAATGATAATATTTTTGTTTTCAAATTATATTTGTCGTAAAACATTGATCCAGACATTTCACATTTTTTATCACATTTGCTAGTAATGTTATTATTCAATTTAATTTATTTCTTTACTTTCATTATGATATATATCATAACTGAAATCATTTGACATTGTGATGTTATAAAAGTTTATGTAAATAGAGTTAAATGTAACAAATATTCAAAAATGAAAATCAAAAGATCATAAGTTAAGAGATGGTTATTACAAATATGACATATATGTTCAAAGTTAATATGAAAAGCAAAGTTATCATAGAGAAAAGATATATCATAGAAAAAATATTCATGTTAGAAATTTTTGATCATTGATTATGGCATCTATATCGTAAAGAACAGTTAACCGACATAATCTTAGCAAACTCATGCAAAGAAAACGCTAATGGTAACAAAACCAAGTCAAATATAGCCATGGAACAAGTCTACCATATGTACGAAACCTGTTTAACATACAACATTCCAAAACAAGTCTACCAAACCGCTGGTTTTTTCGTATATAGGAGAATATATTTAGGACAAAAAGGTAATTTCAATCCAAAAAGTCAAATGTCTGCCAAACATTAACAACTAAGTCTACCTCAAGCATGGAAAATAACTCTACCATAGAAACAAGTCTACCATAAGCACCTCATATGTCTACCAGATCGAGGTTATCTTTGTAAATACCAAACTTAATTAATCTACCACATGATTATTATAAGAAGTCTACCATACGTACAATAACTCTATCAGATTACATAAACTCTACCAAACTGACAAACAAATCTACCAACATTCTGTAAGTCTACTTCATGTAGCAAATAATCTACCACTTACCGGAAGAAATTTTATTTCAATTTAAATCTACCACACAACAAACATATCTACCACAAAACAAATAAATCTACCAACATTTTGTAAGTCTACCTCATGTAACAAATAATCTACCACTCACCGGAAGGAATTTTACTTGAATTTAAATCTACCACAAAACAAACATATCTACCACAAAAGCAAAAAATCTACCAACTAAATATAACTCTACCATGAAACAAATATATCTACCGTCACATATTGACAATTTTTTTCACATAAGTCTACTGCCAAAGGACATAAGTCTACCAACTTAGAAATTAAATCTACCTCATTGTCAATAAATCTACCGATAAAGTCAACTATGCGACAAAGTCAACACTTTCTTTAACAAATCTACCAACACGTTTGACAAATCTGCCATTCATAACAACAAATCTACCAAAACATAATAAATCTACCTCTCATCATCAAAACTCTACCGAGATAAGTCTACCAACATTTGTAAACTCTACCAACTCTCGAATAAATCTACCATCGACCTAATAACTCGACCGACAAAATTTTTGCGTTGACCAAAATTTGATAAGTCTACCGTCAAAGCCTGGTAGACTTATCAAATTTTCAGCGTTATATTTTGCCTACGTGGCATTAAAAAAGTAATGGCATTTTTGTAATTATGTTTTTTTTAACAAAGGTCAAAAGGGTGTTTTGGATATGCTAGGTTAGTTTTGTAAAAAAAATAAAAGTGCGCCAAACAAGTAATATAGATACTTTCTAAAGTTAGTGTAGTAATCCTTCCTAAAATTTAAATATATGCGACTGATAAATCTACCATAAATAACTAATAAAACTACCAAACACATATTTTTTTCACATCAAATGACTAATAAATCTACCAAACCACATCGATTTACAAATAAGTCTATCATCAGATGGTTAATAAATTTACCAAACGACATACCATTTTTCAAATAAATCTACCATCAAATAACTAATAATCTACGTACCAAACTACATACTGTTTTTCAAATAAATCTACAATCACACGTTATGAACTTTACAACAAAAAAATACAATAAATCTACCAAACTACTTATCGTTTTCCAAATATATCTACCAAACTTACCTGAAACAAAAAAAATTAGGGTTGCGGGTTTTACAGAAAAAAAACTTACGCCGCCGACAACCTCCGGGACACCACCATTTCTTCGAAACAACATCTGTCCAGTACGGTTGTGCGCAATGCAGCGAGAACGTCGCTTAAGAGTCGTGCCAATATTTCCGACATCTCTAACACCTAAAGTAAAACTCCTCCTCCGCCAAACAGAAAGAAGAAGACCAAGGGAAAGAGGAAGACGAAGAAGAAAGAAGAAAAAATAAGAAAAATTTGGATATATGAGAAAAAACAAACCTGAACAAGTTTCTGAATGGCGATTGAAGCAATATCTGTGTGGATCTGCGAAACAATAGGAAAGCTGTGAAGAGAAAGCTGCGAAAAAGGGAGGCTGCCAAGTTATCGTCGGCAAGCTCTTCACCACCACCGAAATCGCCTCACGACGGTCGTTTTCACAGTCGTAGAATCACCTCTCCCGCAAAAATTAGGGTTTTTTTTCTTATTATTAATATTAAAAAATCAAAATTATTTAATTATTAATTATCATAAATGGCATTTTCGTAATAATATTGATTATTTGGACAAAATGGTATAACACCAACTTTCTAAGGTTAGTCTAGTAAGGTGATCAATATGTTAGGCTAAATTTGTCAATACATCAACCTTAAAGGCTAGTCTGAGGAATTTTCACCTATTGAGAATTTCCTATAAGACTAGTTACAATGGTTGTTTATTCAACTGTTAAATAATTTATTCAACGGGAAAGCGGCTTATTAATGCCTCAACTACATGTAATGGTACCGATTAGTACCTGTACAATTTTAATGTGCTTACACATACCTGAACTATTAATAATATGATTATTCAAACCTGAACTCAATTTTTTTGGCCAAAACATACATTGACTTTTTAATCGTTAGTCAACTCCATCAAATTGTTAACGGAGCTGAGTCACTTGCCACGCTGGAATCTCCGTTAGACATATATTTATAAAACGATGACGTTTTGAAATTAAAAAAAGAGTGAATTAGGTAAATAAACCAAATGAGCAACGAAATTAGGAAAATGACCAAGGGCCCACAAACAAATATTAACACTGTGTTCTTGGTCATTGGCAATGACTTTTTTACCCCCCGATATTTTGCCAATGCCAGACATGAACAGAGGCTTCTGACGGTAAGTACAATCTATAGGGTGGCTAGAGATATTTGATAGACTAGAGGCGATATTCCTGCGTAAACGAGGGCCACATATTTTTTTCCCGCCGAAGAAGCATTAAATGCAAGGATATGCTGAAGATTGCTTCGACAATTGGGCTTATATGCGATGTATGCGTGTAAGTATAGGACACTAGGGTTTGTTAACCTGCTATATAAGGAGTTATCGTTGTCAATTGAGAAACGTCGCTGTTAAACTTCAAGAGAAAAAAAACGCACCGAGTAAAAGCAGATAAATCCAGAGTTTCCATTGAAGAAATAGTTGACTCTCATCCAAAAGAAGGTAAGATCACGTGCTCTTAGACCATATGTAATGGAGGTCCTACATTTATTGTTGGGTTGTATATCTGGAAAGATTGCTTTTATTACAACACTTATTGAATCCTCGTACAACTTTAATGTTACCAGTGATAGTCTAGTAAATGTGTTAGTGATTATGTACTAAAAACTAGTGTTTGACTCGTTATGAATGTGTCTACATCCTATTGTGGTCTCTAACAGTTTTGTTTTCTCGGTAACCAGCCAGAAAAATGGGCCGTGTTGTAAGCTTTGTTCAAGGAGTGTGGAAGAAAACCGCGAATGGGGAATGGGATTTTCAAGAAGATTCAGTGGAGACTGTGTACGGGATGATAGTGCAAGAAAACGAAACGTTTGAGTCGCTGGACGGAATGGTGAGGGAGCGCTACAAAATTCCAAGGTATGAAATGATGGCGCTGACCTACAAACTACCGGAGGCTATGGTGGGTCCTTTGGGAAAAAAAGCTGCGCCACAGGACATCGCAACCACGGCGGACGTGGAGCTATTCATGGCCGTCAAAGTTGATTTTGATTCACTTGCAATCTATGTGACTCTCGGGGTTTATGATGTCGAGCGTTATAAGTTTCAGAAGCGACGCAACCTGACTGTTGGAGGTCCACCGCCGGGGTTTGAAGGTGTTCAGCCAACTTTGCCCCGCTCATTCCCTGCGTGTACCGGTAATCATTTTGTTAACGTCAAACAAGAAAAGTTAACTGATATGACTTGCGGTGGACTTGACGATTGAAATTTTTTGGGAAGGGGTTGTCGAGGGTCCTATATTCCATATAGCAGATGGTGTCGCAAAAGAAATTTTCACGGACGAGGAGAGGCGATTCCTGGAGGAGATACATGAGGCTATGACCCGCATAGAGTCCTCTTACGGGGTGCCCGTGGGTGGGGGACACAGCTCGACTAGCAACTCCTCGGGGGATCTGTGTTTGATGCTCCCAGATACAAGCTTGAACATCACAACTATCGGAAATGTAGACGGCAACCCTGACACCGTTATACAGCCGTCCGGAGTTACATCAGGGGTTCAACACCTCTCCATACGACCTCTAACATGTGAAGGTAGAGATCTACGCATATCATTAGCGGGTATGTTATTCATGTGCATCTCCAAATACATGACTAACGCTTATCGAATATTTTACCAAACCAGGGCTTGCTAACTCGGCGATTTCGTTGGGCTCAACAAGTGAGGGGAAGAGGCCAGCCAATAGCCTGACTGATAAAGGCAAAACTAAAATCGGCCAAGATATCAACGAGGGTCCGTTCTTGGGTTTGTCTATGCATTGCAATGGAGGTCCTAGTTGTGTCAACCCTAAACAACATGACTCGGAAGACGATGACATGTCTGACGAAGAGTGTGACTATATCGGTATCGCTTTACTTATATACTCGCTAACTTATGTGTTAGATCTCCAACAGTCAACGTGCCTAGCTAACATACGTATTATACTTTATAGGGGATGGTGTTAACAAACCAGGCGTCCTCTACGTGGGGATGGTGTTCAGAGACCAAGACGCGTTCAAGCTCCATATGTCATTATATGCCATGGCCAAAAAGTTCCAATACTTTACCCGAAAATCGACACCAAGCAGGATGGACTTGGAATGTGTCGGGCAAAACTGCCCATGGAGGGTGTACGCTGTAAGGATGGAAGGGATAGAGTGGTTCCAGATCAGACGTGCCCGGATTGACCACAACTGTACCATTGACGAGCGTGGCCGCTTTCATGTGCAAGCTAAGACAAGTGTGATTGGAGATTTGTTCAAAAACAAATACGCCGGTGGTGTCGGACCCCGACCTAATGAACTACGGGAGCTTATGCGTGATGATCATGACGTCCCAATATCATACTGGAAGGCGTGGAGGTCTAGAGATTTAGCAAGGGACACAGGGTTGGGAACTGCTGGCAATTCTTACAAGGTGCTACCCATCTACCTACAGCGCTTGGTTATGTCAAACCCCGGAACAGTTGTTTCCCTAGAAACGGATTACGATGAGGGAGTGGGCCAAAGGTTCAAATATCTGTTCTTCACCTTGGGGGCATGCCTCAATGGTTATCCCTATATGCGCAAAGTCCTCATAATCGACGGCGCCCACCTTAAAGGAAAGTACACAGGCTGCCTGCTCACCGCGAGTTGTCAAGACGGAAATTACCAGCTTTACCCAGTGGCTTTTGGGATAGTGGATGGAGAGAATGACAAGGCATAGAGTTGGTTTTTCCGGAAGTTGCAGGAGGTGGTGCCGGACAGCCATGATCTCGTTTTTGTGTCTGACCGGCATAACTCGATCTATGCCGGCCTGCGTAAGGTATTACACTTTAATCTGCAGTTTTATATATGCATTTTATTTATTGGTGTGTTAACAATTATAGTATCGCGATAATAGTTGGTGTAGTTGGAGAAACATCTAACTACCTGTTTGGGTCTTTTAATAATGAGTTGTTTGTTTCATATTAATGGTGCGTTAACACATATAATACCGCGTTAATAGTTCGTGTATATGGATAAATATTTTGGTGGTAAGTTGTTTGCTTCGCGTTAATATGTGTTCTCATTTTGTTAGTGTCTTATACCATTGATAACAAATATGTTATCACGTTAATATATATTTTGCTTAACGAAACATATAAGTGCCTGCTTGTGATGCACGTGTTTTTTGATAATGAGATAATTGCTTCTCGTTGATAAACCTTTTAAATGTGTACCCATAGTGTTAGCGTCCTAAATACTAGTGATAAGTGGCTTGAGGCTAAAAATGCTGTATCAATGTGATTAGGTGTATCCAATGGCACAGCACTCTGCGTGTGTTGTGCATCTCCAGCGTAACGTCCAAGCGATCTTCAAGAAGAAGCATCTCAGCTATTTGGTGTCTCAAGCTGCGAGAGCTTACATACCTTCCCAATTCTATGAACTATTTGACCAAATTCGAGCTGTGGACTCAGGTTGTGCTGACTATTTGACAGCTATTGGATTCGAACATTGGACAAGGGCTCACTTCAACGGTCTCCGGTACAACATCATGACCAGCAATGTAGCTGAATCCCTCAACAATGTGCTCGCAGCTGCACGGGATTACCCAATTGTGCCATTGATCGAGTACATTAGGGCAACTATGATGGGTTGGTTTAACACTCGTCGTACCCTTGCTTCGGAGACAAGTAACACGCTAACCCCAAAGGTAGAGGAGATCCTAGCTACTAACTTTGAACTGTCAACAGAGTTTTTGTTCCGTCGGATAAATCAAGATGAATTCGAGGTCCGGAACAAAGAGGGTGTTCCTTTCTTGGTTAACCTGGAGACGCAGGCATGCAGCTGTCATGAATTCCAGATGTTGCGGATCCCTTGCTGCCATGCTATAGTCGCAGCGTTGAGATCTGAGACAAGGGTTGACTCATTGGTTGGAATTGAATACACCACAGCTTTTTGGAACAAGGCATACGAGTGCAGCATCTACCACGTAACAATGTCTGCGCCAACTCTTCTCATCTCTTAACCTGAAGCCACCTAACACCCGCCGCCCGCCTGGGAAGCCTCGCAAAACGCGCATCCGCTCTCGTGGAGAATTTGGGGTATTTTTATTATCGACTCGCTTATCATTCTGTTTATCCGTGTAGCTGTCAGAGTTAGTAAACTAACATTCGTATTACGTTGTTACAGGGTGGATTACCGAGGCGTTTAAACATCTGTGGTCGATGTGGTAGCTTCGGCCATAACCGCGCCTCTTGTAAGATGCCGATATAGCTATGGGGATGATGAATGGAGGCAATGGATTCCATGCAGTTGGTTCCTTTTTGTTGAGCTGCATAAACCGACACTATGTCGGTTTCAATTACTTTCTGTTTTTAATATGTTTCGTGTATTAATGAACCCAAGCAAACTCCTCTCTAAGTTTCTGTAAAATATGTTTGTAAGATGATCTATTCTGTCGCCCCTGCTATAAAGTATTGTTGTTTACTATGCCTGTCCACTTTTTTATCTAGTTGTTGATATTCCATCGCCCTAAAAACAACCAGACGTAGGCATAGAAATTTCAAGTTAACATTGCCATAACCACTCTAACGTATAAATTGGCTGATGTTGGTTTACTCTATTGGTCTAACATTCTGATTTCCGGTTTAAAAAACAAGTTATCTTATCATTTAATTTTGCTATAGACCTACATTTTAAATAATCGACATATGTTAACATACGTAAATTAGAAAATGGTTTGCATGGCCAATGAATAAGCATTGGACAAATTCAACAAAGTCTTTAAAGGAAAAGAAGAAAATCAAACAGTAAACATAAAAATAAATGTCTTACGAAAAACTTAACAGCCAAAACCCACTCATCATTCGGAGACATATAGCGATGTAAGCACAAGCTAACAAAGTTATAACAGATGTAAGCACAAGCTAACAAAGTTGTTCACATGTCCACAACTAAATTTACACAATATCACCAAACGTTACACCTAACAAGACATATATCGAACTATAACGAGATGTGACTTTCACCAAATATCTACTCACAAATGTAGTCGCCCTCATCATCGGATAGTTCCTCCTCCTCCACCATCACCGGCGGTGCCGGCTGGTTGCTGCCTTCACCGGCGCAAGTCATAGTCAAACCGAGGAAAGGGCCGTCGTCAGCTTCTGTGCCCATTTTTGTTTTCCCTTTATCAGCGTCGGTGGGGATGGGGTCCCCGAGTATTATCCCATGGTTAGAGTTCGATAACCCCGTTTCCGGGAGGAGAAGGTCGAACTCGGCTGAGGAGGACTTAGTTGATCTGCCATCATCTCTTCCCGCCGGTCGACGAGAAGCCTCCAGTTGAGTGAGTGCGTTATGGGCATCCAGGATGACACACTGCTCGTCCTCCGTGAAGATCTCGTGGAAGACACTTTCAGCAATTTGCACGGTCGGTCCCTTGATGAGCCCTTCACAAAAGTTGTTAACATCGCCAAGTCCACCAAAAGTATCGTCAGTTAACCTTTTTATTTAAACGCTAATAAAAAGTTTATCGATGTAACCAGAAAGGTTACCTAATAACGCCTGATTTGTACGGATAAAGCCAAGAGGCGGAACGGTAACTTGATCAGTAATCCTTTGCATTGAAAGGTAACGCTGAACATTCTCTTCTCCTATGGTCACACAAATGGCGAGAGTCTCCACTTCGATGTGCAAAGCCATGAAGAGGTCGACATCACCATTGTTGATGATGTCGAAAGGGGCTGCCTTGCGTCCTTGAGGCACAGACGAGCTTGTTGGGAGTTGATAAGTCATTGCCATCATCGTGTGTGGATGAAGACTGAACCGGGCTCCCATCATTCCGTCTAGTGACTCAAAGGTTTCCTGTTCGGTCACCATTAGTCCGTATCCTCTGTCGTTGGTGTCGGTCTCGAAATCCCACTCACCATTCGGAGATCGGTTCCACACTCCTCTAGAATATTTCACCATATAACCCATTTTACTTTTCCTGAAATAGAAGCATGACAAAGCTTTAGTACTATATCCATATATAAACCGACCATGAAATTTACTCTAAAATTAAAGCAACAAAGCATTTATTTTGGTCCGAGGAATGAAAACTTAAGAGATCTGCATTTAAAGCTACATGTTCACTGTCAAGAACATAACCAAAAGAGACAGCGACATAAACGCACAAACAAAGCTAGATACAGTGGTCCTACCTTGTTTCCTCGCACGAAACTTGACTTCTGTAGTTTTGTTGGCACGACCTAAATTTTTTTCTCTCATACTTTCTGTTTGCAGGTCTAACAATGGCATGTTATGGGCTCAAGCTGCTAATACATTATATAGCGGAGCAACTGAGCAGTATAACATATACATACGGACATATAGCGATATGGCGCAGAGGTCAATGAGATCTATCACACATCTCTGCATTAAATGCTTTCTTCGCGCGGGAAACAACGAGTGGTCCATATTGCAGCTCGCAGGATTTTGCTAGATATTTTCACATCTACTTACAAGGGTTTGGACGTAATTACTCACAATCTCCGTAATAGTATTTCCACAACGTTGTGGGACCTTATTTAACTCCTCAATTTACATTCCTTCCATGAATATCTCACTTAAAACTCTTATATGTTAACATACGTAAATTAGAAAATGGTTTGCATGGCCAATGAATAAGCATGGGATAAATTCAACAAAGTCTTTAAAGGAAAAGAAGAAAATAAACAAGTAAACATAAAAAACAGTGTTTTAGCAAACTGTTAAGGCCTGCAACCCTTGGCTTACGCTGGAGCATCAAACTCCTCGAAAAACTTAACAGCCAAAACCTGACTCTCTTTGGCCATCTCATCAGGAGTGAGCATCTTGCATCGGTCAATTCCTCCAACCGAGTGTAACATTATAAGCAGGGCAGTTGTGACACCAGAATCGCACATGATGCCGTTCTGTGGAACCCCTTTAGGTCGAACGATAACGTAAGGTTTAGACTCACTAATACGTTGTTTGGATGGACTTTGCTTTAGTACGTACGGTAACATCATTGATATGGGGGCCAGCTCCTTCTTTATAGCGCTATCAGTCCTCAAAGAGAGGTTGCAATCCAACACGTGCATACTCCCAGCAGTTGTGTCAACAGCTATGCCAACCCAGTGCTCCCTGTCAAAGTTGAACGGAAAATACAAACGCTCCGGCGTAGGGATCTCTACGCTGTCCACCTCAAGGTGATCCATGACACCATCCCCAAATTTGAACCTATGACGGTCTTTGACAGCCAAACGTGAAAACTTACTCCAGGTCTTCATCAGTGCAGTCGTGAATTTGGTTTCAAGAAACGCCGTCTTGTTCAAATGAGACTCAGAAAAATGTGAGACATAGACAGCGCGGGCGTATAGGAGAAGCGCGTCCATCATCTAGATACAAAAAAATGCTTGGCTCTACACTTTTATTTTACATTAGACAAACATCTAGACAATTAAACTGAAAACTTATGAACATAGTTATGTGACTATAAATCTAACCCCCTAGTTATCTGATATTACTTTTGTTAGACATTATAATGTCGTGGATAAAGTCGAACGACGGTGGAATGAAGGCATTACCTTAGCCATCATGGGCTTTGTCCTACCAGCTATGTCTAGAACGTCCTTGTTGTTAACAGATGTGCCACTGCCAAGATTGAATACCCTACATACGGAGACAAACTTTCAACACAAAATTCGTTGTAACATTATAGTGCAAAACAGAAAAGTTCTGGTTAACAATTTAATTAGCAACTCTAACATATCTATTGGCAGATGTTAGTTGAACCTACCGATCTAACATTATAGTTACCAACATGGGGAGACCTTACCGATAGTTATGCAAAACCTCGTGTAAGCGTGCAAACTTTGTAAAATAAGTTGGTCGTTCTTCAATGTGGCATAAAAAGGGATTGCTCCCCATCGTGCATGAAACCCACTTCGGATCCACGTGGAAGTTGTTGAACGATGTCTGCACCCTAGCCCTCTTGCCTCGCCGCGGACCATCTCCTTCATCACCAATTTCGTCAACCGGGTCATCCCCATCCCCATTGCCTTCAGCAGCACCATCCTGGCAAAATCAATCATATTAACAAGTCACAACTCACATCGTTGTTACGCTTAATGTTATCAGGTACACCTATAGTTGTCTTAGTTAATAGAGATCGTAGACAGCTACAGCTCCTATAATGCGGTTATTTATGATTGTATACAAAAATCAAAAAGAGTAACTATGATCCTAATCTTATAACGTACTTGTCTCTCTTCCGGGCTCTCATTGCTCTCGCCAGCTTCTGAACTCAGACCTCCAACTCCTTCGCCCTCCTGCTGCATATCCGTCTGTTGTTCGGTATTAATATTGTTAGCAAACGCAATTGCGTCATTTATAACTACATCCGCTTGGACCTGATGCCGTGTCTGGTGATTTGAATCCTTGCCCCTGTTCGTGCTGCATCGCCTTGCCTCTCCGCGTTTCCACGAGCCGTAGATCTATCTTTTCAGTGTCGTGTCTGTCGAATTCCGAAACAGACTTGCCTAGAAAACCAATAATGTTGGATATTATTTGTTCTTGCATTGATGTAATCATCCGTTCCATAGCTGTCTTCATCATAGTGCCAAGAGTGGACAAATTGGTTTCAATAGTCGATATCTTGTCGACAGCGGCTGCCACCTTTAGCTCAACTGGAGCTAGCTCTGCCTTTACCGTGGCAGACAAAAGTTCAGCTATGTTGGGGGGAGCAGTCGACGACGGACCAGCGGCACCAAGATTGGTTGCATTTTCCTGGGCCTTCTCTTTCTCCCTCTCCTTCCGCTCCCTGATTTCCTTCCTCTCAAGGCGCATCTTCGCCAACTCAGCCTGAGACAAACCACCCTGAAACATGTTTTTGCGGAATTCAAAGTTCTCCCCGATGAGGTTTACCATATTATCAACCCTTGGATCGTCTTCCTCGTCGGACCAGCAAAAGTCCGCATCCTCCATTGCAGAATCTGAATCGTCGGGGATAATGCTAAAAACCGAGACCTGCGTACAAAAAAGTTGCATCGTTATCACGAATGTTAGTCCGATCATAAAGTTGTTAAATAACAAAAAAGTTTGTTACATAGTAAATGTTAAAGTTAACGGGCAAGATATTACCTTGCATCCTTCGTCGATCTCCCTTGCATGACTTGGGCTTAGTCCGACATTCGCCGACTCTGTGTGTGTCGAAGGCTTTCCAGCGTTTTTCTCGGCATCGCCAGCAATCGATTGCTCATTTGAGGGGTTCT